CGCGGCGGCCGCCGGCGCCTGATACAGCCCCGGGTGGCGGAAGCTGCAGAGCAGCTCAGGCCGCGAGTAGGGATGCGAGAGCGCTCGGAAGGTGTCCAGCGGACGGATGGACGTAGCGAAGGGCGACGAAGCCGCTGCCGCTGCGCCCGACGCTGCGGCCGCCGCCGCCGCAGCCGTGACGCCCACGTGTGGGTAGTAGTGCAGCGGCACGTGCGAGTGGAAAGGGTAGGGCAGGCTTCCGGTGGCCGCCGCGTGCGTCATCATGTAGGTGTAGAAGCTGGGGTCTGCTGGATGCGGCCACGACATGGCCAGGCGCTGCCGCTTGTCCTTCATCCGCCGGTTCTGGAACCACACCTGCGGGGACAGCCGCGCCGCCGCTGGGTTAAGCCGCGCCGGGTCCCAGGCCCACTCCCCTAGCCCGGACTCATCCCCTCTGTGCTCCCAGCCCGGACACCGAGGGCAGCCCCTTGTGGGCCGCCATGGGCACACCCTCCGCAGCCCCGCGTTTGGGAAGGCTCCTCGGGCTTTGGCTCATTTTCTGGCCCCAAATCAACCTTTTATCTTCCTCCCTCCACCCACTCACAGGGGGCCCAGACTCGCTGCACACCGGTCTTTCAATCCCAGGATTTGCACGGGGATTCTGGGCAGCCTTTGAAGAGAAGCTGTCTCGCAGCTTTTCTGAGAGAGCCATGCGAGGTCTTGAGCCCTCCGAGCTGCAAGGACCTGTCCCTAGGGGTTTGGGTCCGAATACGGTATTGAAAAGATGATTTTGTTTGAATCATTTGCTTTCAATGAGTGGCGAAAGCTATGTGTCCATATCCTGGAAAAGGGACGTTTCTACCATAGTATCTAATAAAGACATCATTCGTCACACTAAATGAAAGAAAAGCCCGCTCAAACTGGAGGGGGACTTCCATACCCCCCTCTTATCCCATGGGGTGTCTTCTCTTACTAGAGTCGAATGTTCCGTAAAGTGCTCCCCAAACCTACCTAGTTCCCAGTTATCTCTTAACGCATAATAAAAATTAATAACCGAAAAATATGTATAAATAAGCACAATTTCGTTGATTTTTCTTTCCGGTTGACCGAGAGAAAAATGTGTAGGAAACTACGTTCTCAGCCCAATCGATTTTTAAAATACAGTATCCCTTTTTGGGGTGATAACGATTTATGTGGAAAATAAATCACAATCAAGAGCAAATGAAAAGTTTCACCTGGGGTTCGTGCCAGGGGAACAAAGATTAGCTGGGGGCAAAGTAGAGCCTTGGACATGAACGAGGGACACCTGGGGAGCCGCTGGGCAGAACTGAACAGAGGTGAAGAACCGGTCTGAAACACCAGCCTCGTCGTTGGGGCATCTTCCCAGGTCGGCCAGGCCTGCCAGCTGATTGGGACTAGGCATCGAAGAAATAAGCCAACCGCTTTGGTGACTAACCACAGTGGATGTCCTCAGCTAACTCTCGCTACCCAGAAAGGCAAATGAGGAAAAGAAACAGATCAACCCAGGTACCCCGAGGGAGGCCTGAGCAGGCGCGGGCCTGAATCGATACCTTGATGGTGGTTTCGGGCAGGTTGAGCGCAGCGGCCAGCTCGCACCGGCGGGGCCGCGACACGTAGTTCTCCCGGTAGAACTCCTTCTCCAGGCGCGCGATCTGTTCCCGGGTGAAGGCCGTACGGTACCTGCGCACCTGATCCGCACCAGAGCTGGAGCCACCCAACGCCGCGCCCCCGCTGCTGCCGCCACCGCTGCCTCCATGCAGACTGCCGAGGCCCGAGCTCGAGGCCGACGTCGTGGTGCCCGCAGCCGAGCCGCTCTCCGCGTACCCTAGCAAACAAACAGTCCACAGCGCATCAGTCGCTGTAGGGACCGAGAACCCAGAGTTGGGGCTGCTAGATGGGCACAGTGGCTTGAGGAAGGAAAGTCGCTGTCAGAATTGATGGGTTCTGTCATGCTTACAAATTGTTGTTGTTAATGGGATCAATAAAGTTTGGGGAACCCTTCATAACCAAATAATAGAAACGGAATTTGGGAACGTTGTTCTTTCTCAATAATTAGACACTTTCCAGTGAGCAGGAAAAATGGGAAAATGCCTACCTCGGGGCGCAGTTTGAGAAGCTGTGGGTTTACCACGATCTGGAAACTACTGAGCGGCTTTCTGTCCAGCCTCTAACCTGTCTTTGACAGCCTTTGGAGTTTAGTTTCAGATATTTAAAATTTTTTTTGAAAAGAGCAGCAGCTCAAACCTGAGCCTGTTTAGGGGAGGGAGGTGGAATGTACTTTTCAACTCTTTCTCTGAACTAAGTGGTCCAGCAGAAGTGCCAGACCAAGCTATGTAATACTTACCCAGAATAAAGCCTCCTCCACCCCGCCCTGGGGGCTCCAGAAGCAGTTGAGTTCGGAGCAGCTACCCGGGGCACCCTTCCCCAGGAGGAGTTCAACCGCGGGCTAGCGGTGTGTCCACTCGCCTCAGCTCTTAGATCGGCACGCAAAAACATGTTCTCTGAACTCCGGAGCCAGGGCGAGTAGGGCCTGGTGTCCCAGGCTCGGTAGGCCTGCAGCGTGCCTGCCACCGCGGGGAGCAGAGCTAGAGGGTCGGGTCCCTAGCATGCGTCCCGCCCCTGCCGCTGCCCCTGCCAGCTCTGTGCAGCAACGCTAGCTGAGAGTCAGAGACCCAGGAAGGTACGGAAAGGACTGGCCAGCGCTGCGAGGGAGCCGGGAGGATGGGGCTAGGGAGCCGGCCGGCTGCGTGATTACCTTTGGCATTGTTTTCCTTGAGCGGCGCGCCGCTGAGGCCGCCCGGGGAGCGCAGCGCGGAGCAGCCCACCTCCACGTCGCTGTTCATGTCGGCCTCCGAGGCCGCCTCGGAATAGTGGCTCGGCTTCTTGCGGCTCTCGGTGGTCGAGGCGATTTCGGAGGAGACGGTGCTTTCACTGCTCGGGTGCTGCAGGTTGAACAAAGTGTCTATTTCGAATTTGCCCTTGGTAGGGAGGTCTCCCAGAGCGCCATGCAGCGGGGCAGACGGTAGGCGCGGGCTGAGGCGAGCCGGGTGCTGCGAATTTTCCAGGGCCTCCAGCACAGCACTACCAGCCGAATCCGACAAACTGGAGAACCTTTTGCCGGCTGTAGGGCTGTGGAGCCCTCTCTCCATCAGAATCATCTCTTTTCTTATTCTTTCCATCATCTCAGCTTTCTAAAAAATGTCACAGTGGCTTGGCTGTCCCGCCTTAACGCTGGGCTGCGCCTAGGGCTAATTCTCATTCAGCCCCAGCAAGCGGCTCTAAATATTATTATCTCTTTTGGAGGGAGGTGGAAAAATTGTGGGATGCCAGAGCGAGGGAATGACTGGTCAAAATGACCCATACATCCTTCCGAGCCTGAGATGTCATTCATCAAAAAGTAGCGCCCGCTCGTCATTAAGGTACGAATGACGCCGTTCGAATAATCATTTATTGTAACAGGTTTATAAGCAAATAAATACACGCTCCTGTCAGTAGGTAATGAAGGCGGCTTCAGGGCAGACAAATAGATCCAGGTAGAAGACGAGAAGACACGAGAAGTGAAGAAGGCTCCAGTCCTTTGCCCGCTCAGAGCCAGTTCTGCTTGCCCAGGGGTTTGGCCCCCGGGGGTGAAATTGACAGTCTGATTAATAGAGCGCGCCGCGGCACATTTCCCCCTTCATTTAGGGGCATCATTAGGCTCTCAGTTTGCTGGGTTGCCCCTTAGGTCCTAATCATGCAGCGCCTTCCTCATTTTTCCACGGACACAGATACGTGTTAAATAATAGATAATGCTTTGATTTTTCAGAATAGGTCCTTGGAAGTTTTGTTTTGTTTTGTTTTAACAGTTACAAGCCGGGGGCGTAAGGGGGGCGGGTAAGGGGGAGGATACAGAAAGAGTTGCGTAAGAAGAAGACATTGCTCGCTCCTGTCAAGATTGCTTCTTTCTGTTTTCAGTACCAGATATTAATAAGTATATTATTGCACAAGTAGAACCCTGAATTCTCCCCCTCCCTACTTTGTCCTGTCAGTCTGGGTGCTCCTTCTGAGGGAGGGAGGGAGGGAGGGAGGGAGGGGGAGAGAGAGAGAGAGAGAGAGAGAGAGAGAGAAGAGAGAGAGATTGTGTAGTTTTGAAAACCCTTTCTCGCTACATGGCTGGGGAGGTACGTTGGGCCCACGCTTCCAAACGGAAATCATTACATCTTCTCTGATTTTCTAACGCTGTTTGCAGAGCGAGCTCTGATCTCAAAGTCCCTGGATTTTTACTTTTATAATCCTGCTGATGGATAAGCTTCTTGGCCAGGCATTTTCCCCTAGGAGACATGACTGGACGGTTTGATAGCAGAATTCGACAGCTAACTTGAAACACAATCGCGATTTACAGCGCCATAGGGGCCGCGCCGAATCCACTTTTTAAATTGCCTCAAATAGACGTATCTGTGGCAAAGCCACAGAGTTTCGAGGTCAACGTGGAGGGAAAGGAGCCTCTTTCTTGCTAACATCCTTCCTCCCATTCCCTTCTGCTCTTCGGGATTCTTCCTTCCCCTCCTCCACCCTAGCCCTTTACCTGTGGCCGGTGATGTTCTTGGTTCTGAGTAGGGGCACCGAGCTTCGCCGACCAACCTTGTTGCTTCTCCTTACCGCCTGAGGTTGAAGGCTGAGCCTCTTGGCGATAACTTTGATAGTCATAATGACGCCGGTGGCAACCATTTTAAGGAAGATCAATCTTCACACTCGTTCCTCATCTCCCGCGCTTGCATCCCACCCTGTCCCGACTCGGGTGAATGGGTTATGCCTGTTCTCTCTGTTTGCTGCCCCAGAGGCAGAGATTCGCCCACGCTGGCGGGGACCACAGAAAACCGGGACAGGACACGGTGGTCCAGCCTGTGAGCTACCGAGGCAGCCGCGAGAGCCTGGAAAGCTGCGCGCTGGGCGCGGGTTCTGCATCCCCGGGCAACACCAAGTCAGACCCTAACCCCGGCCCCCTCCTTCCCTCTCTAGGACACACCCAGCACATCAGGGTGTGTTAAGGGGCAAATCCCGAGTCTAATTGTCCATCTGTCTGTTGGCCCTTTCTTTTTAACCTTGGACCTGTTGGGGGCGCGTCAGGAATGTAAGGGGAGGTGAGGTGTGAAGTATATTTATATGCATATACATACATATATACCCGATGCCATAAGTTTCTCTCCTCTCCCCCTTGGCGCCAACTTATTTCAACAAGCAAGCTTTGCTGAGAAAAATCAATTCCACCTCTTTAAAGTCATAAACGAAAGCTCGAAAGGCACGCCGGCTCCAAGTGGAGAGTAGTAGCTGGTGACACAGTGGGCGCTTGGCCCCAGTTGAGGCTTGACCTAGTGTCCACCTTTGCCCCTATCCTGGTGGCCATTCGACCCTAGTGTTAGTCCAGCCGCCGGCACTCTGCGTTCCCTTCGGCTAGCTTTGGGCACGGAGTCCAGCCTGGCGGAAGCACCCACCTGCTCCTCAGCTGGGATGCCCAGCTCCACCAGTACCGGCAGTCACTACTCCAGTGACGCAGGAAGGGTCCCCCTACCCTATCCCCGCTTACCCCAGGGACTAAACGGGCCACTTTGGTTCACGCTCGGCTCCATGGGTGGGGGTGGGGGGTTGCCAAGGCCTTGGCAGCAAGAAGTCTCGCAGCCTGAGCGGAAATCCGCTGATGCATTTATTGCTGTCATTTGGCGCCCCCATCTGTTTTCCTCGCGGTTTCAGCCGCTGTGAACTGCTTTGGAGTCGCAAAAGACTCAGCTCTGACCTGGGGCACCGAAGGTGACCCCTTTCACTATCGCCCAGCCTGTGGGTCCCCCCCCCCCACTTCCTCTCTTCTTCTAGAACTAGGCGCCTCTGGTTCCAAAAGCTACCCCAAACCCGCCCTCAGTCTGTTGAAAAGGGAAAAGAGAGTTTCTCAAGGACACCTTCACTCATTAGTGATTTTGAAAACTATTTTGCATCTTTTAAATAACAATAATATTGCATTTCTAGCATGTTTGTTACAGCAAGTACACTTGAGACCATGTGAGGGAAACTACTCACAGTAAAAGGCATGTATAAGTTTTCAATGCCTTTAGCAGACAATAACATTTCTCAGTGAACATTCCATTTCAATATTCAACGTCCTTTTAGATTCAATACTCTCTACTAAAGTAATATTGACTAACTTACAT